CACCTGGGATATCAAACAACGGCCAATCACTTGAAACGACAATATCGACTGACACAAATGGAATAATGCATACAGATATGCTGCCATAATCCTTCAATAAATGAGCACATGAAATAGATTGGTTGCCAATACCTCCGCCATACTTTCAAGCTGTCAGAAAGTATATTTAACGGAAATGACACAAACACGAAAAGGTCATCGAAGTTAACTACAATTGGCTTAAGCGAGGGGTGCAAACGTATAGATAGTTCAGGTAGACATTAAAGTGATAATATAGTAAACCCGCCACCTGAAATAAAGACCCAGCATACAAGCAAACGTTTGGTAAACCAAATGCAGCGTAACTACAAACGCTGCGCCCGTTCTGCTTACTTTCTTCGCAGAACCCTTCGGCGCTTAGGTAGTGGTCCCGAGTGGCCTTGCTCATGGCTCACTAGGCCTACCTGACTCAGGCACTCGCGACCGCAAGTGCTACAGCACCATGCGATGGATGTCGATGGTGTACAACCCATCGGTGCTTGCCGCTTCCGCACTTGCCGCTTCTTCTCCGCATGCATGAGGGTTTTCTCTTGCATCTCGGCAACTGCCTTCGTGATCAGATCGCGCCATGCACGCCGAACAACCGCCTTCGATTCCCGTGACCTGCAATCAAGATTCGAACGTGAGAGGCTCACTTTAATAATGTCCTGGTAACGTAACTTTGATTTCCCCACGTGTCGCTTCCCTAAACTCAGATGACCATATAAGAGTTGTTTCGGTATCCGCGTCGAATCCATACGCTACACCTGACCGAGCCACCTAAAATGTCTCAACAAAAGTATGCAGTCCACTGCATGCATTCCACTTCGGCGCAACACTTTCGTGTCCGCAACTCTGTTTCACAAAATGATGCGCAGAATCCGTCGCGAACACTCTTGATGGAACCGCTTGAGATATTGCACTTCTCGCCCGTACATCGTCCACGTTTCCCTGCCGTATAGAAGAATGGACAGCACCATGGATTTGAACACCAGCAGCTTCGTGCTAACGATAACCTGATGGCTGTTCCACACTCGGTACTCAAGCTTCCCGAATGCCGCCGCTGCCTGCGATACGTGGATATGCAGCTCACTGTGTAGCTGTTGGTCAGTCGACATCACACTCCTTAGGTAGCAGAAGCGGAAGGTGGTTTCTAATACCTCAGCACCAATGCTGATTTGCGGCACTGTTGCAGATTGTACCTCCAATGATGGCTGAGAGAGACAGACAGTTTTGTTTATGTTAATGGTGAGGCCGAATTTGGCCGCTGACGAAGCCAGAGCACTAGTCATGTGCTGCAACTCATCCACGTTTTGCGCAAACAACGCACAGTAGTCAGCGAACAGTGACAAACGGATAATTGTCTCACAGCCTAGAGTTCTCGCACCGAAACGACGGATGTTCAGCAACCCACCAACAATACGGTGCTTCACAGGAACTCCGTAAGCATAAGCGGTATCAAAATACAATACATCACTGTATGGTAGGAGCTAAGACGCAGCCTTGCTTCACACCAGAGATAATTTCAAAGTCATTCGAGGTCTCTCCACTCAGCTGCACCCTCACCCGCATACTACTGTACATACATTCAGTTAAACTTACAAAATTACGAGGACAACCAATTACCCAACACCAGCCACAATGCCTCGCGGTTCACCGTATCAAATGACTTGGTGAAATCAACAAAAAGCCGGTACCATGGCTGGAGTCATTCTCTACACTTCTCCTGCAAATGACGGGCAGCAATCACCAAACCTATAGCGCTGCGACCCGAACGAAATCCACACTTATCTTCCGCCACGTTCGGTTGCACAACCTGACTGACGAGGTGGCTGAGTTAGATTCGGGCAATCACCTTGCCTGCACAACCCAGCAGTTTGATACCACGATAATTCGTGCAACATTGCTTGCTCCCTTTGCCCTTGTACAGTGGTAGCACAAGGGCATCCTTCAGCTCAGGAGGCACCTCCTCCTCAATCCACACGCGTTGCACCAAGTGGTGCAGCGCAGTCAACAACGCGGGTCCACCGTGTTTCAATACTTCAGGTGGTATCCCGTCGGCACCGGCACATTTGCCGTTTCGCAGCTGAGCAAGTGCTCTCTGTGTCTCATCCAGTGTCGGTGTGTCCGCCAGACTCACCTTAACTTCGTGCTGCTTCACGCGGTTCATCGTCGACCATCCAATCTTCGAACGGTTGTTAAAGGTTGTTTTTGCCAGATGTGCATTATGTCTGCAGTCTGTGTACAAGTAGCGCCTGAGCTACCATCGATCAGCGTCCTCCGTGGCTCCAACTTAAGTCGATACACCGCCTTCAAGTAGTCAAAGAATTCCTTGTGTTAATGGCGTTCAGTTTAGCTTTTTATCTGCTTAGCCTTCTCCGTCCATCATGCATTCCTAATGCAACGGGGCTATCGGGTCAGTCACCGTCGAATTTTTCGTAACTGACTCTTCTTCCCCAAGTCACGGGGGTCTGCCAAAAATGCAGCAATTGCTGCATTCTTCTCATACATCAATGCGCCATTCGTCGCATTGTTCTCACCAAACCAGTCAGGCAGCTTACAGTTTGTGCGTCTGATGGTCACCTTGGTAGCAGCTTTCACCTGGTCGCGAATGTGGTGCCACAGGTCGCCCCTTTTGGTTATGAATTCCACATCACACAATCGTGCAGCCATCGCCTTCTTCAGCTCAATACGTTTCGCCACGGTACCGAGGGAGAGGATGTTAGATTTACGCCGATTCACGGCGGGTGTGTAATACATAGATGCACGTAAATATATGTACAGTTTGGTCCGCACCAACTTGTGATCAGTGCCACAATCAGCTCCACGCAGTACACGTGTCATGTGTACTTCACGCACATCACGCTGACGTACGATGACATAGTCGAGCAGTTGAGTTAGACCACTCCGTGGGTACGTCCACGTTGATATATCACTGGCACTCAGTACAAACCGGGTGTTCCTGATCGTCAGGCCGTGAGTGGCACACAGTGAGAGCAGCCTGTCACTGTTCTCATTCGCTGAACCAATGCCATGCGGATCGATAACATCTGTCCACGCCGATGCATCACACCCTATGCGCGCGTTGAAATCACCCAGCAGAAATAGTCGGTCGCTCCTCGGCACAGACCGTATCACGTAGGATAGCTCAGTGTAGAACTGATCACGCGTGTCATCAGGATAACCCATGGTCGGACCGTACGTGCTGATGAAAGCGACAAACTTACCTCTTCGGAGTCGTAGGCGAACAGTCCTCAGTCGCACGCTGATGCCTGTTGGTTCACCGATCAGCTGGCCATGGGGCGATCGGAGTTTACAATTCCGACCCGAGTGCACGTGGTGCTGAGGTGGCGTTGCCCACCCATTAGAATGTGTAGCCAGCATCTGCATCATGTAAGTTACCTTGCTCAGCGAGCCGAGTCTCACTGAGCGCCGCAGCAGCGATATGGTAGCGCGCCAATTCCATCGCGACCAGTGCACTGCGTTGCTCGGGGCGCTCACTTGAGTTCGGGTCCAGTAGTGTGCGCACGTTCCAGCACCCGAGGCTGAGTGCTTTGCACGCAGGCATACGATTGCATTGGTGGGCAATCGCACGCAAGGTGGCGGTCGGGCTTCGGATGTTTGCTTTAGGGACTCCACCCGGAGCCTTTGACTCCCTCCCATCGTCAGAGACAATGCGTGGCGCTCATGCTTTACGCCAATCGAGCTGTGAGCTTATAACCCGTAGATCTGTTGTCTCCCATGTTTAGGTTTTACGGGAAGTGGGCCATCGACCACTTCCTAACCTCCGAAAAGGATGGACTAGAATACTGGCATGGCGCCCACACCTGACAGGAAAACGACTCGGGTCCTCAGCCAAAGCTTTCGATTAAAGCTACACCCGAAAGGCATCGGGTCTAGCACATGGTCATTTCACCGCCTCATGCGGATTGGTGCTTTGGATCTTAGCAGGTGGAAGGGCGTAACCCAGTTGCCACCCAGCGGTCGTCACTAGGAGGCGCCTAGCACATGAGCCCATGGCACAACAGTAGCAGCAGTGGGCAGACCATCTGTCAGAAACTAGCCACCACCAGCCTCAGGGCACCATAGGCTTTGCCGCCCGATATATATATATATATATATATATATATATATATATATATATATATATATATATATGCGCAGCACAGCAATAGATCCCAGCCGGACAAACACAGTGCGAATGGCATGTTTCATTTCAACAGGGCAGAAACTGATGTCCGTAAAATTATTTGACGCGCGTGTGATTGTACCAAGTAGTGGCTGTCTTTTTAATCCTTTAAATTTGCGCGCATCATCTGCATCAGCATAACAGACATTCTCTGCTGCATTTAGGACTATCGATGTCGCTTTCGGTTGTCCTGGTACCAACATCTGCAGCAACAATTTCATCTTTATTCACAGTAATGTTATCGCCCTTGGTTCTCATCATTTCGGTCAAGGAACTACTTTTGACTGATTTACACTTGGTATCGAACAAAAGTCCGAACTAAAAATGCCTCCCCACTCACATGCTGCCTAGTGCGGACCGCCCCCCTGTTCTACGCCTTCGATTGCATCACCTTTAAATACAAAGGCTGTTATAAATCACACATGAGAGAACAATGGAACAATGGTTTATTACGGGTAAAAAAGCATCGCTTAACAAGTCCCGAAAGATTGGAGGGCTATTGAAGTATGGATAGCGTACTGACAGGTAGGACGTGCTGAATACTTAGTAACTATGGGGAACATCAAATCGTCAGATGTGGATTTCAATCCGATAGTTTCATGGGGCATAAAAACAATATTGTTGTGACTGTTCGATTGTGAGCGTTGCCCGCCCAAAAACAAGGGCACCCAAAAACACGTTTCCAACTTAATTAATCAAAAAGACCCTCTAACGAATATTGCAGTGGTTATCGTAATGAGGAGGAATGTGGAGAGATTCCCAGGAATGAGATTCAACAGAGGATTGATCATACCTGCTTACTGCGATACACGCAGGGTGGAACAGAGAAGTAGAAGCCAGCTGCCACTCCTGCCAGAGCATGTGAAGGACGGCCATCAAACGCGTGCATTTGGACACGAGTAGCACCTAAGGTAACCAAATAGGGGAGAAAAACTGGTAGAAATGCCATCATGAGCACACAAAAAGCGAGCTTGATTGTGTACTAAATAGCTCGGAGTCAATTAGTTAGAAAAATTTAGTGCTAATCAGAGGCATTAGAAGTTCGACAAATTATTAAATGATGGCATCAATGAGAATGAAATCTAAAGGATTGCAAAAGACCTCCAATTAATCAAGTAGGTAAAAAATGAAGCTAGAAGGCAGTCAGGTACTGTATGTAGAAACACATGGACTACTTAAACTCATTATTAAGTTCAGAGAAGCCCGCGTATTGTGTGAGTATCACCAGCAGGGTTGCAGCTCTTAGACTGTAACCGCCATGTGCTGATGACGATCGCATGAATTGCAGAAAATGACTGCTGTCTTTACATGATTGAGTGTAAAACGGCTACATCCATCGTTCAAGAACCTGGAGGTTTGAAATGGAGTGTGGGGAGAATGGACCAATGTACAGAGAGTTGTGATTGGTGGTCACGAGACATTAGGTTCATGCAAATGCCTAAAGGATTCTCCAACTTTGTGTGCAAGATTGCGTGGCATCATTGTATTCAGCAAGGGAAGAAACTTCCACACCCCATGTTTCTCGATAAATGCCGTCAATTTTAATTCTCCTCACCTATGTATGAACCGCTGCGAGACCCAGATTCAACTAAACCTTACGCAGAATCGGGTGTCGCTGTTGTGTGGTGATAAGTAAATGGCGGAACAGCCTCCATTGCAGGATGGAATAGAATGAGAGCGGGAGAACGATGACCCGATCGAAGAGTGATAACTAGTTCATACCAATGTGAAAGAGTGCAAGAGTATGCGTTAGGGGAAGTTCGGGTTCATCGGGCGGGTATTACAACGCTAAAAGTGAAGGATGGCAATGGGCCCGACTGGAAAATTAGTGCAAACAGTTCAACCAGCCTATCTATTACTGTAAAGGGGTGACTAGACCTTACAAGCTAGCAACCGGCTCCTCTTAGAGAGGACGTGCATATAAACCCACAATACCACCAAGTACAGGCTTTATGGAGAGTCCAAACGTCCGGTAAACATCACACAATACAAAGAAAATGGGCACTCCGTGTGAATTTAGAAACGGTCAACATGCAATAAATCCACAATGAGACGTTAAAACCTGGGCGACTGTATTAATCAATCAAAGCGTACCTTCAAGTTTAAGCAGCTCGATTGTGGGTTTCGAGGCCGATCGCGAATGTACGTTACTGATTCAATGTAGAAGCGAAAGAGTATGGAATGGGTTCAGTGATTAGGATCGCAAGGGGAGGACGGAAGTAACTGTTGAAGAATTACAAAAGAACGGGGGACCATAGAAGTGAAACAAAGAACCAGTGAACAAGAACCTCCACTGGTGATGCTTGTAATCACATTACTCTCTTTAAGGAACAGACAACAGACAACAAAAGAAGAAAAACATAATTCGAGGTGGTTGTTTTTGTCCGTTGGATTGCAACACACAATCTCGGTTTGGGCGACGATATACTTCGAACCAAAATGCGAACACTGATCTCTGGAACCGAAGTCGAATTATAGAAACGTTTATGTCGATCACTTCCAGTAAAGCACTCCATAACCTCCATAACCATCCTTACTTGCATTTTATGTAAAGGCTGGAGCGGGACTCGAATCATGGACGAAGAGGTAAGTGAAGGGGTCAATGGGAGCCGTACAAATCAGGATGAAATAGTTCGTAAAGTGCAGAGCTGAGAGAAAACAACGCCAACATATAAGCACAGGAAAAAGAGCGTTCGCTCATGAGCGCGATCGCGTTGCATCGGCAGTTATTTGCATAGTGACAGATGTACTAAAAACGTCATACCTAGTGGATGTCATGCCTAATCGTGAACCTTGGCCCACCATGGCCGTAGTTTGCTTGAGTCGTTTCTTATCTGATGTGCCATCAGCGCTAATGGTTAAGGAGCAGGTGATAAGACGTGCAGCAGGCATAGACAAAAGTGACCACAGTGGTGCGCGTGGGTCCGTATTCGTTCTCTTTACTGCGGGTGAAACCCGGGGATTCATGATGCCAGTTGACTCCACTGCCTCTGCGTCACACTCAACAGTAGTTCCAGCTACAGAATTGGACGAGAGTGAGACTCCGTCCCACAAGCCACTCACACAACGCGTGCTTCCAGATGACCCACACAATGATAATTCGAAACATGTTTCCGGTTCAGTAGATCATAAACTACACCACACAATGAGGTTCATCCTCGTGTGGACTCCTCAGACAGAGATCACTGGAGATGGGAATCGAGTATGTTACCTCTTGGGTGTAGGTAAACACCATCGCCCTCAGGTTATGAGGCTCAACGGATAAAGCTGGTCAAGGTAATCAGAAATCCGCGGTCAGTGCATTGTGTGTTTGTTGTGTGTGTGTGGATTGCGACACGCAGACACGGAACTGCAAACCCAGAAAAAGAACTCATCTGCTTCAGATATCGTTCCAAGGATTCAAATAATCAAAGCTTAGACTAAAGTAAATCGCAACAAGAATGGAGATAGTAAGCTGCAACCCAAGGACACCGTAACTCAAACACCCAATAATGAAAGAGGTCTCTTCGAAGATGTAGACAGGTAATGGGTCAGAAAGCGTAGACGGAATTCCACTGAGTCAGTCAGAGTTACCGAAGGTAATCCTGAATAGAATACCATATAACAAGTGGGAGAAACATGACTAGGAATGATAAGAGTAAAAAGCAGAAAAATATTGTGTTTGACAGGAACTTGACAGGGGGAAAGTGGTCACTAATATTACAACTAATATCAAAATCAACTATAGGTAATCCAGTTGCAGTACTGCATCGGCAGCGCCTAGTTACAAATAGAAGAGAAAAACCATTTAAATCTCACGACAATAGTATAAGGGCATAAAACGACAAAATAGCAAGTTCATGAATTACTGATGATTGTTGAAAATACTGAAAACTCAGGGTGGGTGTGAATAGCGATGTTGGAAGGTTCAGTTACAGATTTTACATTACTCGACTAGGTGACATGATAAGCGAAAGTTCTAGGGAAGCGGTTTACCAGAAGCATCATTAAGCAACTTTAGTGGAAGCTACACTGATGATGTTGTCTAGTCCGGTAGCGAGATGTCTGCGGGTGGACTACCGGATTCGAGGAACAATAAAACATCGCAATTTACATCAGAATTTCGTGCTGATTCTTCACTGCCAAACACCCATAATGAAGCAACTAAGGCAAAGTACGACAGGAGGATAAAGGGCCTAGAGTGTGAAACCCGGATACGATTCGCGATCTCTCAAGATGAAGACACATGCAAGTGGCCAACAATACATGGTCCAAAACGGCCGTCCACAGCGTGCGGATAAGGCGGCAACAGCGACTTAATTTCCTGTCCACTACCATTACCCCAGGTCATAAGCAACTTTAAGCTGCAGTGTGGAAAAAAATTCCAGACGAGTAGTCCGGGCAGAAAACGACGATAAACATACCATCGGTATCTGCTGGGTCATGCTCGAAGCAAAGTGAATCGAGTGGACACCGGACTCGAAAGATCAACAGTTCACAAATATACCTACCAAGGAACTCCGCTCCCGCTGTCTCACATTATTATCTGCTCTTCGAGTCTTACACCAACTAACATACGAAAAACAAAACAAAACCTCACGGAGTAAACGATGGAAGGGTGTACATGGCAAGCAGCCAAACTGACCGAATTGATCATCGTCGGCCGGTAGCATTCACGCACACAACCAGCAGACACCAAGAATGCCTCCTGTCAACAAAGGTCGTAAAGCATGTGAAAACACCAGAGACTGTCAAACGGAAGGAGAAAGGTTTCACAGCCTTCACTGTGACCCCCCATATGCACGGCCACCATAACCCTGTATTGCTCAACGGCTTAGCTAGCTAATAGTAACAGCGATCACTTGCTGGTTCGAAGAACACGGATAAAATGAAATATGGCAAAAATCTAGTCTAGTGTCGCGGACAACAATTACCATGGATTTTAGTACGCCAGTAGTCAAGCATTGCGTTTGCAACAAGGGGACCAGAACGCAAGTCACAGACGCCAACTAGGATGAGATGTTGGGAGCCAGTGCTATTGAAACGCATAAAACCCATTTACTTCCGAAACACGAGCGTGATTTCATGACATATGTGCCAAACACAACAACAGTGCAATTGCTGAAGCTTCCACTGTTAGTGTGGAAAAACCGGCGTTGAATTAACTTTGCTCGGTGAGGACGACTGGTCAACTGTGAAGTAGAGAGCGTATACATAAGCGGGCTGCCGAGAAGCATTGCAGTTTCAACCAGCTGGCAGACAATAGTGATTCCAAAGTTCACTTCATATCCCAGAGTGAAAAAACAGGCATGTTGGGAATCAAATGCTATTCAGTCAACACGCGAAACAAATGTGGAATGAAACGCTGGATAAGCCAAAGACTGACTCGCTGAAATAGTGACTTAGAAACTCACAGCGGAAGGTCCAGTTGGCGTGCCAGACGAATTTGTGAAACCAAGAGTCTACGCTGCTCCTCATGGTGGTCCGATGTAGGGCAATGACTAGGAGTGAAGTCCAAGCCCACCAACACCGAGTAAAACGATATAGTTTAAAGTGTGCATACTTCTCCAACAGCAATCAGCTGATCTGAGTGCTTTGTGATGAAATCTTGAGCTTCATATAACTCCTGAGGTACCCAAGTTGAATGGTGGTCAGTTTGAATGAACGTACCTCAGGAGTGATAGTCCTGGACCGGGATCGGCCATCGCTCATTTGCTAGATTCAGGAAACAAGATGAAAGGAAAAACTCAGTGCCTCCAGCTAATGGAAGAGGATCGATTTTGGTTCGAGGTTGTATCATGATAAATGTGCTGAACATCTGGTTAACATCCTCAATGCAATCTGAAACATTACTACCATTTAACATCAACTGTTGTACGGCAGGGAAAAGAACCCGTCGTGGTGCGCTAATTCGTTCAAATGGGGCTCATCTGCCTCGGACCTTCAACACTGACCAGCAGTGTCCATCCCACAAAGGTGTTTAGTCATGAATAATCATAGGTCATATGGAAAAGAAATATGGTAGCTCAGCTTGTTCAAGTGGCGCTTTCATGGTGAGGAAACGTCGGCAACAAAATTGCCAAGATCAGCGACCAGTTGGACCGTCACACAGGTTATATATGAACTTCTCTGTCACTCAGGATCAACACTGGCTGTCCATTCATGACGGCTGAGAGGATGGAATAGTTGAGAGTGAAAAGCCAAATGATTGACGTCGGACGCCTCCAACCAAGGACAAAGTCAGTTTCATGCACAAACGTCGTACTATGTGAAAATAAGTCTGTCATTATTGGCAATTGTCGATTCTGAGGAAGCGTTATCGTATTCAAGTAAATCAAAAGCACCATGTCCGGCGAACTGTAGTGAGAGGTTTTGGTTAATCACAGGGGGTGTCGATGCAACAGACAGCTAAGCGACTGATCCAGTTCTGATGGTTAATGTGATCGAATTGATAAGAAGACTGAGATGCAAACTGACAAAGAATGGGCTATCTTTGGTTGGAGTAAGACTAAAAGGTTATAGATTCTCTAGATTAGTCCACTTAACTATATGACCATACAGCGATGATTAAGAGTTAAACAGGTAAGATAGCCCATGCTTGACTCTGATGTAGACCGCTGCGACCGTCATCGCCGGCATTTTAGTCTAACAGGTGAGTATAAAAGGAAGGAAATTCGAAGTAATGGTTCTATGTTTACCAACCTAACATTTTTCACTGGTTCATTGGGGAACAATTCCTGTCATTTCATTGGAACATTGGATTTTACTTAAGGTACCTCACAAAACCCTATCGCAAAATCGCGCCAAGCATTATAATCAAGAAATGCTCAACTATACAACTGGAATTAAGAAATCGATGAAGTAAGGGAGAACCGACGAAGGTCCTCAGTAACCACGTACTAGAGATGACGGTAAGCAGGTTCCGGAACAAGTAATACACGCCAAAGAAAGGTATGGGTTGTGAAACCAACCAAAAGTGCTCATGCATATTTCGAAAAGGTCAAGGCGATGAAGATTCAACCTTAAGTGTAGGCAAACATAAAACCCAGCCAGATAATCGCCAGATATCTGGAAAAGAGCAGCACGACAACTGTATTATCCTTTGTGAAGGAATCAACGGTATACATATTCCGAGCCTCGCAAAAAGGGCTGGAATCAGCGGCCAAACTCTTGAGAAGTGAAGTTTCTGGGCCACTGTAAATGTCAAAATTAAGTGGCATTGACTAGGTGGGGTGTAATGTGGCTCACTATACACCAGACCGCCCGTTATCCTAGCTGGAAGAACACAGTAGGCTCTTGGGGCAATATTAGTTGTGATAATCCATAAAGTAACTGGTTGAAAGCAGCTGTCAACACTGGCGTAAAATAAGGTCCACTACATGAACCCGTAGATGTCAGTGGGGGATAAAAACAGGAGAAGCCATTCTCTTCTCAAATGGGATGCAATCCTGCTACCTAATATGGTAAGTTAGGCACACAAATCCAACTGTCGAATGTGCAGGCATTTTGAGAACGGTGCGCAGCAAGGTAGTGCTCTCTGTGCAGATTTGTCCAGTCAACTGATCACGAATAGGGGTCGAGATGAGATCGCTTGAACCGTGAGGATATGTAGATGGGTTATCAAGTAAAAGACTGCAGACAGTTATCAAAAGGCGGCTTTTGTGACAATCAATGGCCATTAATCGAAAACTGATATCTCAAGATGTAAGAAAAATGCCGAAAACGGATGACAGAACACCCAAGCTAGTAAGTAACATGACTGTTCAGAGAAGGCAGTGACCAGAAATATAGGATAAAGCTTCTCTAATGGTAGACAAGACAATGCCCAAACGCACAACATGGATCGCAGATTGCGAACCATGGCAGTACCAGCAGTGTGCCTGTGCGCCGTACAGATGCTTGGCTGGCACGCGACCACCATCAGTCGCATGTGGGTTGGGGAACTACGAAGGTCGCCATACTCCTACGCAGGGTAGAAACTGTGAACCATCTTGAACACAAGGCAGACGCCTTATTCTTTCGGTCACCGAATGAAGCGAAGCAAAGCGAATGCGAAAGTCATAAGTGTTACGATTGTAAGATAAGAATCACTCGAGCCTCACGGTCACAACAGTGTAGCGCTGATTCTTATCGAATCGTACTTTTTACGGGATGGCCCTCAGCTCGGATCGGACCTTAAGCTAAGCTCTGAATGCTGGAACCTGAGCGACTAAACTGGCTATCTCTTGAAGCTCAGCAATAACGTGTTCGCAAAAAAATCCAGTTTGATTCGATTCGGTTCAAAGCCGGCATACTATTAGTTGAAAACTGCTGCAACCGTCTGTCTGTATGCAAGTTTAATTGATGGCGCGAGCACCCTTGATTCGGCGAAGACTAATGTCAGATACGTAACCAATAGGCTAGTTACTAACTCGAAACTGCAGCGAGTGCCGAAGTTGGATGTGATAGGGTAGCCATTTGCGATGTGAAATGCACGACTCTCGGTTGCTACGCGTCTTGAAGTGGAAAGTAAAACATTTTCCGTACCAAGTACTCCAATTGGTTTATGGTGTCATAAGTTGCTAGGAGCACGCTGCAATTTAATAGGGTCCAATACCATCTTGAGTCATCGACCATCGTACGGGACATGTAGACTTTATGATGCCAACCACTCTGATGAATTTAAGCAGCCAGTTCCATTGCACAGGTTTTCCGTTTCCTATTGGGAGGGTGGTGACTGAAAGGATGATGCCAAAGCAGTGTAGTGTCTGATACCTATACTGAAGAGTTATGATTAGAGCAATACACATCCGCGTGGTTTCTACGCCTCCAGTTTTGCCCCAAGTAAAAAACCAAAAGAACTAACGTGACCGAAGGAACTCCAGTGGGTGTGCGTGTGCCATCACTGGTACGAGATTCATCGAGTATTAACGGAGAAGCATGCCAAAGGTTTAAGTATACTGCAAACCATACCTGAGGATCCAACGTCGATTGTCAGGGAAAGCAAACAGTTCAGAGGTGACGGAAGTGCATGAGTAGTGGACTTCAAAATAGTGCTACACGGTGACCATTGTTGGTTGTGTTTAAGAAACTGAGAAGAACCTACTTCCGGGTTAAAAATGAAAGCCAAATTAGCAACACAACAATGAAACACCGACTTGTACTCATTCCGAGGAAGGTAGTAGATCTAAAGCCAACCAATGAAAGCCAAAACATACTTGGAGAGGATGAATACCAAAGCCCAAATTGACCCAATCAGGAAAACTGAAAAACAAATAAAAGAAAGGGCAAATTAAAGGTGGTAAGAAAGTTGAGATTTAGTATATCATATGTGTCGGAGTCAAACGGAGCTGTTGCACATGTCGCGGTACTAAGCGGAGCAGTGTTGCCACGGCTTGTAAATCTCAGCGAATGGTCCAAGTTCGGCGCCATCTACTGCGACTAAATGATGTGACAACAGAAATGAAGAAAAGAAAGCTTTTGGAGAGCAAGAAGTTTCATTGAATACCATTCAGACAGCTGCATAATGAAGGCTAATCCAAGATAACAGGCAAAAATGCAACAATGGTGGTCAAACAGGACTGACGTGCATTAGTAAAAAGTGTCGCAAGCCCATTAAAAAGATAATTTGTGGAGCAGATGAGTGGAGGCGGAATCAAAGGTGAACCGTATTATGTCAATTGGTCTGTTATGATTAGTGACAAGCATGAGCGATAAACCTCATAAAAGGTATGTGATTTCAAATGCGTCCCTATGCGCCAACCAGTTTTGGGACACTTAGTGAAAGCCTCACTCACCGTGCTTTCAAGTCCAACGCCGTTGACATATCTTGGCGATCTTCAGTCAGCACCAAGGCCCCATAAACACCGGTTGCAACGGCTCGATCGACAACCGTATCGAGATCCTGAAAATGAAGGGAAAACAATTAGAGCTGCAGAAAGGAGTGTCTGGAAACTATGTGAAATGTTTGGATGATAATAGTAATGTCAGAACAGATGTGTTACCTAGCTGTGTAGGGTTAGATGTTCAGGCGATTTTGTTACATAGCTTTCGGTTGCGCCTCAGAGCAGGAACGGTTTGTCGTTAGTTGTGGACCAAAGGTTAGGGTCTAACGAAGAGCACGTATGTAGTCTATAATCGAAACTTAGGTGGTCAGGCTCTGATTCCGATACTTAATATTGTACAGTATACCTTAACTACCTAGGAAGCTCAATGTGTTACTCAAGAGCCGAGTATAACAATCAAACACTGGCGTCAGCGCCAAGTCGAGATAAGTCATTATCGATTGAGTAAAAACTGCAAACGGCACACACTGATCACACGACATGCGGTGCAAAAAGCTGAAATACTTAAGCGATCTGGCATTTAGACGAAAAATGGGGAGTTGACTTTCAAAAGCACATTGGATGGTAGAAGGATATTACCGAACAAATATCAAGTTGCTAGAGATGCAAAAATACTTAGTGTGAACACTAATAACAATGAAGTAGGTGACCTATTCGTTTTTAAGGTAAACGATGAACTAATAACTAAATTCACCATTGTCTCTCGCACAGTGTTCCGCACATCGAGGCCGGTGAGAGCGAAACTGACACGCCGAGGCGATGTCCGGCAGCTGGAGATGAGTCAAGACACAGAATAGTTTAAGCAAGGTAACGTCCATCGTTTCTTACTATAGTGCGTGGTCGCTCAAAGGCCACCGGGAAACCGATTAAGCGGCCTTAGGTTAGATTTTAAATTTTGCATGTCCCAAACGAAACCACTAGATGTAAAACATGATTTGAGATACTGGCAGATATCGACGACAAGTCGCCACTTTGTTACTCTGGAAACCGTGAACATGTGTGCGGTTTGATTTTGCCGGCTCTGCGATTCCATGCATTTCGATAGGCCAATCGGCTTGCAGATTTTCAATTTCGACGTATTCGCCGTTCACTAAGCGTGACGTGGATGAGCATGGTGGTCTGATTACCACTGAACGGCCACCAGCACTTGACCGTGAAGAATGGCATGGTAGACCTCAAGCCGGAATGATGTCGAATAACTGACTTGGGTTTGCCCGCCTGGGGGTGCATTCTTTAAGGCAACATCACGTCCAGCAACACCCGATGCGACTTCATCCAACTTACCCATATCGACAAAAAGCTACAGGAAAATGCCAATCGCCGTTGTGAGAGACGGAATGCACAGCCTGCGAAACAACACCGGGAGGACGATTCGATAGCGCACCAGGAACGTTTGGCATGCATATTTGCAAAATGCTGAATTCCCGGTGGCCACCTGTAAGCAGTGATGAATTCATTAGCATAGCGGTATAAGAAGTACACATTCGAATCCAACAGTCGCCAGTTGGGATCTGGGTAGGTGCGGGCAGCCTCACAGTATCGTCAGTCCACGCGCAAATGGAGACCACCGAGTGGCAAAGAAGCGCTAGACGATGCACTGGTGTAATACTCATGAAGCCTTACGACATTCATAAAGTTTCGGCCAAAAGGCGGTCAGCGTCAGAGACGTCTGCGACCCGCACCACAATTTCTATATTGATGCAACAAAAACTCAAACAACCATGGGTGAGATGCATCCCATAATGGTAATGGTGAAAAGGATTCAACAAACCAGGAGAATGAATGAAGGTGAGGTGGCATATATATATATATATATATATATATATATATATATATATATACAGTTAGTGACAATGTTGCAACATCCAGAAGCGTACTCTCTAATCTCCTTGATATAAATACCATATTCACTACATTTACATGAGAAAAGTCCCTCAATGAGACATTCCAAGAGGGGCCCAAAAACATCTAAACACCAATGTTTTCAAAACAAAGCTTTTGCTTCAACCATGCACCAGAACATAACCACAGGAAACGCATACCTCATTATTCCAACTATGCATATCGCCCAATGCAAGAGCATGGATTCTTCCGTACAAATTGATCAGTGCAGCTAGACACAATTTCTCGCATCACGAGAAATATACGTATTGTTCTGCTGCGGTACTTGAGATGGATGCGGCATATCTGTCGCATGGATTCGACGCGCATACCCAAGCACCAGCTAATTAACAGATTAGTGCAAGAAAGCGGCACGTGGGAAAACCAGTTACGTTACCAGGACAAGATCAAGGTGAGTTTGTCAAGAACTAATGTTGATTTCAGATGTTTGGGAGCGATGATCTTGATCGGATCGAACGGGGGTTGCTCGGGTACGAGAGGAAGTACTATTGCATGCGGAGGAGAAACGCCGGGTACGGAAGCGACAGGCGCTGATGGAGTCTACCCCATGGACGTCAAACACATGGTGCTGTACACATACGGTCCCGAGTGCCTAAGGCAAGCGGGCCAGTTAAGCCACCAACGTTGCCACACGAAGCCAGCATCCTAAAGACGACGAGTCAGCTGATTATCTAATCAGCGTCAGCGTAGCGTTCGTAAATACGCTGCATCCGGTTCCTTTCGGTTCACTAACCCTGGTCAATAAGGCGGCTGATGTGGTGCGTGTGCTACATCAACGTTGCAGTTAGTCTGTACGTATGCCTGCGCGGGAAGTTTCCTGCATTTCAGCTGTTAGCTGTAGTTGGATACTAATGGTGTGGCTGGGTTTAATGTGAATGTTGGCAAGCTGTCTACCTATCTAACACCCTCCAGCTCGATTCTACGGGCTTCAGAAGACAGTTGGTCGTTGGTTTGGGACACCGGGTGCACCATCCACGTGACCATGCTAGGCGAAAAGAGTGGTTCCATCCTGTGGAACGGGTTACAGGCCAGCCACCGCCTCATACACGTCTGGTAGCCACGATTCGCCAATTAGACTGACTGGAATGTTGCTGTTGTGTATGTTGAAAAAATGTGGGCTGGCTCCGTTGATGAAACTTGGCTAGCATCCACATGCCTCTCGGTCTTATTCCTTCGGGTTTACACTGGACATAGGGTGTGTGAATGGAGTTGTGGGTGATGCAGCGCAAGCCAGCCATGGTCCCTCAGTGGGCGCAGGTGTTTTGTGGCCCTCACATGGAGGCCACAGCAACACAAATTCGGAAGCGGATGCCGCCAGTCATATATATATATATATATATATATATATATATATATATATATATATATCGAGAGAGGTAACAAATGCCATGAAAAGCAAAGGGAGATGTGGGGAACACAAGTACGGTAAAGAAAGCAGACCCATTGCTCAGTGGCATAAACTGCGGACTAGTTGGCGCAAGCTACTAGCAGTCATGGTTTCGAACCTCGGAAGAGGACCGAAGGATGCGCACCACTGACGAGACCCGATAGGGCGAAACGGCCTTCTAGTGCTTTACAGGATTGGTAGTTTTAGGTGAATTGGTGTCTAATTGCGACGAACTTAAAAATCTAGACCGGATGCTTTTGCCACTTTAACCCATCGACATTACCTGTTCGTCCTTTTCCAGGATTTCATCGTTAAACGCAGGAACTCGCGGTTTTTAACTCAGATCTACCACTGATTTCGATTGAGCCCCATATCTCAAAGTGTCTCTACTCATCGCCACTTCTCGGCTTTGTGTTCACAACGGAGAGAACTTATGAACACGAAAGCGGTTAGACGTGGAGCCAAAGAATTCATGTACTACCACCAATTATAAAGTCTGAATTTCACCAGTCGTCTACCTCTATCTCACATGAGCGAATATGAGAACATGCGTGGAAAGTAACCTGGGCATCTCGAGTGGCGCAGCGAAACATTTTTGTTAGGTGTTATACAAGCGCCACCCCCAAGGGAAATAAACTAAGCTCACCGCTGCAAATTCGGAATTTCGATCGTACGTTAGAGATCCTTCTCAAACACCCATTAGCGAAGGCTGAAAGCCGCTGCATAATTTTACGCGAACTGATCGGCACTCAATTCCACAAAAGCACTCGAATAGAGGCGTTGTTAACCCGGCTCTTTAATGAGTTGCATCGATCACACAATTGTCCTAGGATGGAAAACGTCAGCCGAGGTTTGGGGAGACGGAAGGAAACGTAATTTCTAACCGTGCAGCTTGCAGAAAGGTAGCACCTCAGGTAGGACAGGTCTACAACTTGTGTATCATCAAGAGTGAGCGCGGGAACATGCAACAAGTATCAAAACTGGAGCAGTACTTTACACTTCGATGGAGCGACTCGCTGTACATACCCAGCGAGTCATCACATAATAAGTCGATGTCATCAGTATAGCCTAAGTCGGTCGAGCAGCCACCTGGCAGATCTAAGCCAAAATCTTGAAACTTAAGTGCTTTCGACAGGATGCCTTCGATGGCAAAATTAAATTGAGAATATGAAGTCTCCCTGCCCTACACAGCTACTGATAACGAAGAATGAAGGAAGCTTGCCATAAACACCCACCGTGCCGGAGCGGTGAAGGTATAGCACAGATAGGATGACAGTATGGTATTTCAGGACCCCGTTCGTTGGCAGGAAACGCTATAAAGCAGGTCGACCAACCGAGCAGAACGCAGCTCGAATGTCTATAAATGCGACGATGACAGACCTTTGATAGAGGTGCGGGTGTTCGAGGGGACGACAGAGCATGAGAAGATGTGCTATATGTCACAGACCGGGACCTGAAGCAGCTTGCTCTTCACGGTAATGTGACTCACGAATTGGGGATACTCAATGGATGCCTGTAGCTTAAAAACAATCAAAATGAGACCACTCCCTTGGTGATTGGTGCGAAGATCTTTCTCTCAAATATTGAGAATAAGTGATTCGCATCAGGAGGAAGGCACGTTCTCCTCACGCCAAATACTGGAGAAGAATGAGGTTAGCTAGCGGATGATTACTGCGTCACCATATTTGAGCAGCTCCGAAGGAAGTGCATATTTGCACATATGGGCCAACAGTCATGAATCGTCACCAGTGTAGAATCCCAAGGCAAAGTTCCGCTTCGCTGCGTGGATCCAGTGAGACGATCAGAAGCAGATAACTTATATCAGGCACACAAGTGAACGGTGAACGCCAACTAAATTAGGAATGGGACTGCTCGGTCTGCCGATCTAGGTACCGTCGGTTAGTGATCAGTGAGTCACCCGTTTTGCACACAACCGTGCATACACCAGGCTTCCCGTGTTTGGCGAACCAAAGAAGCTGGGGAAGAGATAGCCTGATGGCATCACTCCTACGGTGCTTCGTTATCGCGGACCCCTTCCACAGAGCACACGCAGATGAGAGAAGAGACGGGTGCGTGATCTGAGTCACGAACTGACAAAGAGGGGTTCACTTAGTATGGAGCTATTTAGTATAAGTATTATTTGGAAACGGGTAGGCATAGAACTGGCTGAGACCTTGAGGGAGATGCGCAGTAAACTGAATTTGCACTTTCAAGGTGATGGGACTGTCTGCTCGTCAATCCGTGGTGAGCCGAGAATAGGTACTATTGGGTCGGGTGCCAGTAGTACAAGAGTAGTGAGCAAACCGGATGTCAACGGAGCAAACAGATATCCTAGTAAAGAAGAACGATGGCAAGCCGAAGATGGATGTGTGTTTGGAAGAAATGCAGAAGCAGTGCTCAGCAAGGCTTCGAGGAAGACCGCGCTAATCACCCTCCAAGGAAGGCGTTCGTGAATGAGCGGGACAACTAGTTGTCTCCCCGTGGAATATCTGCGTGACCTAATTCTGTTATGCACACAAAATCTACGGTTTGAGTTTGAAGGGATTGCGTAGACACAAATGGATGGTGTTGTAATGGGTAACCCGTTTGGACCAGTTTCGGCGGATATTTTTCTTGGTCTGATTGAAAAAAATTGCTGCCACTTTCAGCGAAGCGAAGCTGTACAAGTGGTACATGGATCACAAGGATCTTTACTAGTGGCGAGCATTTTGAGCGACTTGTTGCCCTCTTTAATTTCGCACACCCTAATCTCTCTATGAAACATGAGATCGAACAGCAAAGCAGTCTACCGTTTTTGGATGTGCTCATTAGGAGACGGACGGAGGGCACACTTCAGCGCACCGTCTTTCGAAAAGCGACTTATGGTGGGCAGTAGATGCACTTCTCTAGCTTCGCTCTAGTTGTATGCAACCGCGGTATAGTTAAAATCCTCTTCTACAGAGTCAGACGAATTCGCACTACATACACGCTCAAGACCGAAGAGGAGTTACTGCATAAGACTCTATGGTCAAATGTGTACCCGGCCAGGTTCATTGCCGACTACCCAAAAAGAAACCAACGGTTCAAACAGCACAGAAAAAACCAATTTACTTGGGTCTACCGTTTAAAGATGATCATACAACAAATGAAATCAGACAAAAGATCAGGTCTGCGCACTCGCGTACTTACACCACTGCCCAGTTGCGACTGCCTCACAGCACGCGAAGACTGGCGCTCAACGACCATCTGAAAGGCATGTCAGGCAGTGCAGCCTCATATGTAGTCTACCACTTCACATGCAGTTACGGTGACGCTTATATAGACAGGACTGACCGTAGACTGACCACAAGGATAGCGGAACACCTAGCAAGTTGGCTATGGCAAGCGTTAGCGCAACAGACTGGTGCGGATAAACTAATGAAACGTAGTCCAACCTAGTCGATTGTAAGGCGTCTCGTAGTGACTCGTCATCGCGTGGATCAATCGAGTGCGTTCAAAATACTGGTGCGCGATCAGAACCCCAAAAGACTGGTTATCACTGAGGCCTTACTTATCTCTAAGTATCGCCGGGGTTGTGTGCACAGAAGCAATCTGTTAGATTGCCTTGATTTTGATTAGTCATTTTGGGTTCCACATATTCGCTTATGTCTGATACCGAATTGTATTGCGTTCCCGATTGATGAAAGCACATAAAATGTTAACATTTCGAGAGTTATGTCTTCTTTCTGTGCTCAGTCAATGCATATGGTTGATGCTTGTTGTTTACGTGAATCCTTCCCCACCACTTGGCGTTTCTCTGTTAGGCAAGCCTACAGAACAAATGAAGCTACAAGAGGTCATTCGGGAGCTCTCATCCCGAGATCACTTAAAAGGACTCAAAGCTGCATAACTCATCGCTCTGTGAGACGACAGTTGAAGAACATGTAGGTTTGGTGGCTAAACCAAGTAACTACAAACACTCAGTCCAACAAATGGAACAGCTAAGTTCACAATGCTCACCGGGTTATTACACCGCTACTGGTGGACTCGCAATATACCTAACTCCATTGATGTTTATGAATAAGGTTCGCAAAAGGCGCCAGTAACCTGTGGTAAGTATGTTTTGGGTCCACAAATGTGACAAAGGCTTCGCAACGCAGGAACTCGGTCACATCACTATCCGTCGATGTGTGAGAGGAATAGACGTATTCAACAACGGGGGAGGGTGTGAAGCAAATAGGTGAGAGAAGCGTGAGGGAGTACCGAATAATATAACAGAATGGGTCGAGGAAGTCGATCAGTGGGCCACTTTTTATATCAGGATGATCCTGACGTTGAACCTTTATACTAAGCTGTAGTAGTGCGTAAGGTCTCAGGAGCTTAGCACTTTGTGGTTGAAACCAGCCTTGATCGGTGACAACCACACGCGGACTCGTAAACGCTGATGGGAGCCATTCGGCATACTCAAATCCCTCGTGTAAGAAAATTTGGCAGAGGTTGGCGTTACAACATGTATCTACCCAACCTAGAACGGAACAAGGTGCAATGAGATCAGGTGCCGACTTGGAAACAGCATGCGGAAAGGTGCCGGAGCATGGCTTCCTAGTCACCACGTGAGTTCCATGACAAATGTTGCGTGGATCATCAAAGAACACCAATCACGGAGATAATAAGGCAGTTGATTTTCCGGAATAAAGGAAGACGCCTTATGGAGGCACCGGTGTGCCAATCTGCAACTAGTGATTTTCGACCGATTGTTGCTCTAACCTGATATTCAACTTGACGTGGAAGCATCAATCGCTATTGTCACGACAATTCAGTTATGAGGAGCTCTTTTAATGAGTGCAAGCTAAAGAAACACAGGCACATTAGATCGGTGCGCTGACATTTAGCGCTGATGATTACTACAGGTTTCCCATCAGTAGCAAATATGGCTAGGCTGTTGGATGAAGGGACAAACGTAGTGAGTAGAGGGATACAACGATGGAATAAGTTATATTCGTTTGGGTCGTAAATTAAAACTTCGAATCGCCAACTTATTCACTAGCATGAAAGCAATGTCTCCTAAGGTATAGGTGTATGACAACAAAATAATAAGAAATAAAGGTGCATAGTTGTTGGTGATGATGGCGATGTGGCAAAATATACAGGGTAGCGCACACTCTGCCATAGTGGGGAAAAATGGGATTTCACTGCAGAAATCGGGTTTTGCTTATCAGGTAGGCAAAGTATGATGGTGCATGAAATTAGATAAGAAATAGGTGACAAAAGAAAAGTGGAACTCACAGTGTCAAAAGCGGAATCACACAAGTGGCAATGTGTATCAATCATGATGGAGTATCCCGCCGACAAGCTGGTAAACAAGAAGAGAGGATGAAATCAGTCTCCGAGTGATGAGAATCGCTACAACAAGTGAATTAGACGAAAAAAACAGATCACTTAAGCGGGTATGTGCCATTGCGGCACAATAGCTGACGTGCTGCCCCCCCCCCGCCCCCTAGCTAACGCGTATAATGGTCACGATGGATAAATATTATGACGAGCAGAAAAGTGGTGGCGCAGAGGAGTACAAATAAAGGCGTTAAATGGCGCACAGTCAACGAAGAAAAAGTGATTTGGACCATGACTGATGAATGTTATGCATCGAGAAGTTTAGAAGTATGTGGATGTGTTATTGGCGAACAGTAGACATGCATCAAAAAGGTTGGCGCAAAGCGCCAAAACAAACGAGTCGGACAAGTGGTGGTTGAAAGCAGGAAACGAGGAAATAACCAGCATGCAAAGTATACCGGTATGCTTGTTAATTGGATCGAACATAACAGGACTGCCTGCAGCTACGGGGTGACCATGGATGGCCTACGCTACGCCATCTACGTCTCATATCCAGCGTAAATATAAATGAAGATGAAGCGGAGCCATAAGAGTAGAACCCATCATCATCATTATACACGTAAGCAAGAGGTGTAAAACATCTCAGATACTTTGCCGCAAAACATAAAAGAAAATAAATACAACAGTTACATGCCAGTTGAGCTACCAGCAACGGATGGGTATCGCTCCGGAAAGATACCAGCCGGATACAAGGCAACAAGAAAAATTATGAGGTAAAATAATATTATGCTACGAAATGAGATCGTGGTTGGAGGTGGAGCCTAAAAGGGATAAGGAGAAACAATGATACTCGCAGCAGGAACGCCACTGAGGTCGGCTCCTAGCCATATCAGCAAGTGTAACTAGGCAAACGTGTTCATCGTCTTTCGGACCCCAACCAAGAAGCCGTGAAGCCCCAACCAAGGCCAACTCCGAAGTGATGGTCCTCATTCCTCTCGACCAAATCATCGCTTGGCCACAAGTCCTCTTCTTCCATCCACCGCGCCGGCGCACGTCGCGGGAGCCGGTGGGCTGGCATGCGCAACACGTGGCCGAGCCATCGGAGCCTGGTGCGTGAAATAACGGTGCTGAGCGCTTCATTTCCTTTTTCTATGTCATAGACAAGGCGCCGAACACGCTCGTTGCTCACGCGGTGTTCCCACCAGATGTGAGCCAAACTGCGAAAGCACTGATGGTCGAACGTAACTAGCCTCTTTATGTCCGCTAATCTAAGGGGCCAGGTTCCACAACCGTACAGTAAGGTGGAACGTACCGATGCATTGTACACTCTACCCTTCAGGGCGACAGTGATGTCGCGCCGCCGCCATAGGCAGCGAAGGTTAGCAAAAGCACTTCGAGCTTTTGCTAGACGGTTCGTGATCTCCTCTTCGATTCCAATGGCACTGATACAACTTCCCAGGTAGTTGAATTTCTGAACGACTTCTAGCTGATCCCCACCAAGGGTCGGCACAGGGGGCGATCCCTGCCAATCATGCAGGAAAGCTTTGCACTTCGACGGTGCAAAGCAAAGCCCGGAGCGACTGACAGGCAGTGCTAATATGTCCAGCACGGCTTGGTACGTTTGGGAGCTGTCATAGATGAGAGCAATATCGTCTGCATATTCCAAGTCAAGAAGTCGTTCTCCTGGGAGCAGATCCACACCTTCAAAGTTGTGTCCAGTAAATACAATCTGCATGACTTTGTCGATAGGGAAATTGAAAAGAAAAGGTGACAACAGGCATCCTAGTCTCACATCGCTGGAGATATTGTAGGGTGGCGACAGCTTGCCGTAAGCCCTCACTCTGCCCGTCATACGCGCGTATAATGCCCGGATAATATTTACATCTTTCTCGGGCACACCCAAAGGGCAGTTCGATAAACCGAATCGAAGGCACCTTCAATGTCAAGGAACACGACTACGGTCGCCGTCAATATGTATGACGGCGCAACAACAGTTGACGCAAGGTGAAGAAGTGGTCAATGCAGCCACGAATTCAATGAAACTCAGCTTGCTCCTCACGAATCTGGCTTTCACGAGCGACAGTAAGTCTGTGAAGGATGACAGAGGCAAGTAATTTGGAGACGATGAGGATCAGACTGATTCCTCTATGGCTGTCGCATTCCGAGCGCAAGCCTCCTTTGAAGATGGCAACAATAACGGAGCGGTTCCAGTCAGTTGGGACAGTCTCCTGCTTCCACAGTTTTACTAGTAATCCAAGTAAAGCATCAACAAAAGCAGAGACTCCGAATTTGAAGAGGGTTGGAGGAAGACCATCTGGTCCCGCGGCTTTGATCAGTTTCAACAGTCAGATCTCACGTTCGACTTCTGAGCGAGAAGGCGGATCCAAAGGGACAGCCCATGGATCAGGGCGATCATTGGCCGGTGAAGAATCGAACAATCCCGGCCAGTTAAATTGCTTTTCAAAATACTCAGCCCAACGCTCCAAACGTTTTGACAAATTGTGGATAGGCTGTCCACTCTCGTCAAGTATAGTTTAACTAAGACCAGGTCTCCTGCTGCCCGTTTCCCGTATCAGACGAAATAACTTTCGATGATTACCAAGAGCAGCGGCCACTTCCATCTCTGACGCACGACGATACAACCAGGATTCGCGGTCTCACTTCAGGTTAACACGGAGTTCTGCCCGGAGCTCTTTGCGAGTTTCACTGTGTTCGCCTCTAATCGGAAGGTGCCGGGGAGCATCGATAAGTTCCATAGACTGCGAAGAGACCCAATGTCCATGTCGGCGATCAGACTTACCACATAAGCATTTGCCCGCTGCTAGTAAGGAATGATGAATATGATACCAGTGAGCTTCAATTGATTCCAGTGAGTGCTTACTCAACTCGCATGACAGCGTACTTCGATACGCATTCAGAACAGCTGCCTTCGTCAGTTGATTGGTGTCAATGCACTCACAGCGTCGTCATGGGCGTCCGCCAAAACACATCCGCATGTCAGCACATACAAGTGTATGACCGGTGTCCACACATGTGCTCCAAATCGAACGACAGTTCTGGATGCAGCCTCTCCATCGGTGACTTATCGCAATGTGATCGATCTGCGTCCAAGGGGGGTGCTGTGTCGGAAGTTAGTGCTCGCAAGAAATAAGTGAGCATCTTCACACAAATGAAGTAAACGCTCACCGTTATCATTACGGGAGTCTACATTGTGGTGACCGCCCAGATGCACTTCAACACTGGACAATTTTCCAACTTTGCGTTTGGATCCCCAGCCAGCACTAGTGTCCGTGCCTCTCCTGTGTCGAAAGAGCTGGGTCAGCTGGTGGTAGAAGTCGTCTTTTACCGAATCAGCGCTACATTTTTTGGGCGCCTAGGCAGCGATGATGAATAGACACTTAGTAGTCCCGCGCGACTTTGAAGCTTTGAATGAGTCAACCAATCGGACCGCACACATCCGGCTACTGATTGGGATCCAATCAACCGGAGCAGCTTCAGTCCGGGGACTCAGGGCAATACTAACACCGACTTGGCCGGTGTACAAAGCTGGATCGTCACCGGATAGGCGCAATGAGAAAGTGCTGCTGTTGTCACCTGAAAGGGATCGCAGAGTGAGTCCAGAGCTCGAGTCTTGCAGGCGGTCCTCCAATAAGTAGATATCGATTGAAAAGGTTTCTAATGTTCGAGCAAGTCTGCCTGTTGACTAATGTGCGCAGTGAGGCATCTGAAGGAGGATAGAGGGCTCCAAATGGAAGCCGATGAACTGGGGTGGACGGTTTGCTTGGACATGGGCCTGTCGACAGGACAGGAGTGATGCTCCGCATTCGCAAGTGAGTTGAAACTAGAAGATAAACGCCTGGCAAAGCGTGTTGGCGGAGAACCAAGAATCGGGGTTTAAGAGTAGAATCACAAGTTTTCCGAAGCTAGCTCACATTCCTGGAATTCACATGTTGTCTGTTGTCAGGTAAATCCCCTAGGCAGTAAATTTAAGCCGGGACGACATACGGTGATTATGGATGCCATACATGGAAGCGCATGAAATTCACATCTTACTATGCTGTTCCCCTAGAATGCATCATTTGTAAAAATGCGCTCGCCGGGCGTAGGTTGAGCGATGTCTGAGTAGCAGTCAGTTCATTTTGACGCAGCCACTCCTTGGACTGCGCAATATAACAGACAGCGGACTAAGGGATCACGCAGCCACACATTGATGGTGACATTAGGACTAGCGATGAGACGTCTGTAACCTAAGCATGAAGCTCAAAATTCCAAAGAATATATAAAGAGAATCCGGTTAGTCAACATGGATATTTCTGTGATAAAATATAGTTCAAGCCTTTCTGAAACAAGAGTTACAAGATCAGCGGCGAAATAACTAACAAGTTGTAAAGAGATCGGTGCAGTGAAGGCTTTCCAAAACGAGAGAAAGCAGCGTTAGTAACCAATGGAGAGTAACAAGGCCAAGGGTGAATTGTCCACTGGGTGGCCATACAGTCGTACTAGCAGAGGAATATAGCGTAAATAACCAGAAAAATGTGATCGTGCTCGAAAACTCAATCACACGCCGTATCAAACAAATTCCCTATAGTTGAAGATGTCACACCTTGAACCACGATAACTAAGCGTTCCGCGAACAAAAGTGCGTTTAAAGGTTGGGATCCTCATCAAGCTACGTCAACCTGAGATTAAGCATGGATGAAATCAAGTGAGGGGAGGATTCAAAAACCTGAGCGCTCAGGCGCTTACAACCAATGATGGTCCGTAATCCGTCACTTGAAATTGTTGAACGGGTAATGCTCAATGTGAGAACGTTCATAGTAGATATCATTCAAACGTGATCGACTAGTGTTACACCCAGTGGGCTCGGTGGGAGCAAGAAGTTGAGAGAGTGAGTAGTGGAAATGGCTGTCTTACCTAAATTTCGGGCGCTATTCTGTTTCGGCTAAAGTGATGCTGATAAGGCGATAAAATGCTCACCGCCTGTGACATAAATGCTGAGACCAATTGGTAAATTAAATATGT